GTCAGTGGCTGTTGTGCCTAAGCTTGCATGGTATGCAAGAGGGCTAGGCTTCTGTTAAGGTTATCTACATTATTTAGATTCTAAATTCAGGTACTTCTTGAAATGCCCACAACTGAGCCCAAAATTTCTGTTCCTAAATGAGACATTTGTTAAGTGAATTTAATGCCATTTTACAGCCTTTCTTGCCAAAGTTGTTAAATGAATCACTGCAATTGTTAAGTTAGTGACACATTTGTTAAGTGAATCTGGCTTTCCCATTGACTTTGCTTGTCAGAAAGTTGATGTGATCACATGATCCTGGGACACTGCAACCGTCATAAACCTGAGTCAGTTGCTAAGTGTCTGAATTTTGATCATGGGATTTTGAGGATGCTGCAACAGTTGTAAGTGTGAAGAATGGTCACAAGTCGCTTTTTCAGTGCAGTTATAAATTTGAACAGTCACTAAACAAACTGTTGTAAACCTAGGACTACTTACAGACAGTTTAGGTATATAATCCTAAACTGGTTAAAGGGTTATACTCAGAGATAGGATTCAGCCAGTTCAGGCGAACCAGTTGTTAACTTTTTGTGCAGTTTGAAGAACCAGTTAATCCTACCACTGGCTGCCCCCCCCCCCCCCCCCGGAGTCCCAGCCACTCCTTATCTTGCCTCGCTCACCTTGGCCGCAGCATAGCAGCTGCTGCTGCTCTCTGGCTCCCTTGCTCACTAGCCTTGACCACATGGTCCCCACGGCCCAGCCCGCTTGCCTGCCCGTGCCCTGGCCTTCCATGCTGCCCAGCTTCCTTCACCATACTCCGCTGCCTTCCATGCACCCAGTCTCTGCCTGGTGAGCCTTCCTTCGCCCCTTTGCTGGTGTGAACAGCCTGCTGCTACTGCCTATTTGTTGATGAGAACGGCCTTCACGCCATCTGCAGGCCGTTAACGCCAGCAAAGAGGTGGCACTGGCAGCAGGCCAATGTTTTGAGGTGGAGTCGTGTCCAGCTGCATCAACAAAGGCTGGAAGTAGGCACCCACCCATTTCCTGCTGAAATTTTTTTTAAAAAAAACCTTGACTGTCGGGCAGCGAGATCCAACAGGAGATAAGGCATCGGAGAATCACCGTTGCTGTTGCTGCACAAAGGTAAGTCTAAGGCTCTGGCTATCACCACCGCCACTCTGGCCCGCCTGCACTGCCCCACCTTGCAGTGAGTGACATTGAGTTGACCACACCCACTCAGTCACATGACTCCCCCATCCACACTCACGTGGTCACTAGGATGAACTGGTTGTTAAATTAGTTGAATCCCATCACTGGTTATAATGGGTAGCAAAAGGTTTCCCACACCATTCTACCTCTTATAATATTATTGGTTTCACTGAATAAATACAGGGCTGTATTTATTCGGAAATCATAGTCACATGCGAAAGTGTTGCACCTTTCTCAGTATTTATCTTTGTACATCTCTGCCATTTCACAGAGGGACTTTTAGGAGATTGTCCCAAGCGACTACAGTGTTCAGCCTGCTGAATATGTGAATGGTATTTACAAATGTTACTATCTTATGAACTCAGGTGAGGAATCTGGTGATCAGGAAATTTAGATAAATTTAAAGATGCTGATTTTTACTTATAGCTAAATTCATTATTTAATTTCATTTTTATGTTGTCCTTCCAGAAGTTTAGAACAACTTGTTATAGGTACAAGAACCCTATGAGGTACGTTAGAGAGGATAATTGCTTCAAGGTTGCCTACCGAACTGCAAATTTGAATCAAGATTTGTTCTCAGGCCTCCCTTGTCCACTATTTTAATAACTTTATCCCAAAAGTCTATTACTTTAATGATCCAATAGCCTGGATTAATCATCATGATTAATGTAATCAAAACTTCTAAGAGGTGGATGATGCTGGGTGGGAGGAAGGAAAACAGTGGGGGTTCCACCAATCCCTCCTTTGAACTACCCCACATTATAGAGAACACATTGGCCAGACCCATTGCAGAGATGCAATAAAGGATAGGTTGTGGGAACAATATAGGCTTCTCCATGTAGATAAGGGTTGTCAAACTGGCAGCCCACGGGCCAGATGTGTCACATGCAGGCCATGCCCACCCCAGTTTACAAAGGGGAAAAACATCATGAAATATCACGTGACAGCAACATGATGTGGCAAGTTTGACACCCGTGATGTAGACAAATATGCAACTCACAGTATCACATGCATCTGACATTTAAAAATAACTTTTCGCATTTATAAAAATATTTCTCTTGTTTCTTCTCAGTAGGTGGAAAAGCAACTTATACCCACATTTGGTTTTTTCTTAGAACGAACCCCCGAAGCTTTCAATTTGTCTAGAGAAGTTTTATTTTCCTCACAATGAAAAGATGTGTGATAGACAAAAATTGCTGTATTCTCACTGCCATTGCAAGATGAACACAGTATTTTTAAAAGCTTCTCTGGGAAGAAAGGAAAAACCACAAATTCCTATGTTCCTTTCAGTGAAAATAACCCTCTGCAATACTGACCCGCGGTTTGCTTGGGAGTTTGTAGATGATGACACAGTTTTTTAGTGTTGGTGAATTGTAACTTTCAACTTATTTAGATTTAGATTTACAGTACTGGTTAGTGCTATTGGAAATGGTAGTCCAGCAATATCAGGAAGGGCACAGTCCCCCAACTGTAATTTAGATTACTAAAATAAGGGTTCTGGACAACCAAAAGTATTAAAACACATGTTTATTAAGGCATCAGCAGGAACTTAATGCTGTTGAGAAAAGTTCTGAAAAACTGTAGGATTCACTTACAGAGATGATTTAATCATTTAAGCACCAATTAGAATATAATGTTTACTTGAACAACCAGCTGCAAAAACATCTGTATGTAAGAAAAAACTGACAGAAATACAGCCCAATGTGAATTCTTGATTTACATCTTGATGCAGTTTGGCAAATCACAAGGTTAAAAAGCTCTGGCGAGTATGTTCCCTGTCTTATGCAAGAGTATTTGATTTAATAATTGGCAAATGAATAATCAACAAATTTTTGGCAGAAAAATGTTCAACACCAGAAGAATAACCTTCTAAAATTTAATCTTATTTCACCAAGGTAAGGTACTTTGAAGCAATGGACATTCTAGAATTGGATATGGTGGGAAATCTTTCAGTAAAACATAAATAATAAAAATTAAGTATAAATTACTGAAGTAAAGCAGAAAAATAGAAGGTATTTTCCTTATCATGGTAACTAAATCTTTTAAACTTTCTCATTTGCTATGCATACTAGTGAAAAGTTGTATACAGGTGAAACTCAATAAATTAGAATATCGTGCAAAAGTTCATTTATTTCAGTAATGCAATTTAAAAGGTGAAACTAATATATGAGATAGACTCATTACATGCAAAGCAAGATAATTCGAGCTGTGATTTGTCATAATTGGGATGATGATGGCTTACAGCTCATGAAAACCCCAAATCCACAATCTCAGAAAATTAGAATATTACATGCAATCAATAAAACAAGGATTGTACATAGAACAGTATCGGATCTCTGAAAAGTATAAGCGTGCATATGTACTCAGTACTTGGTTTGGGCCCCTTTTGCAGCAATTACTGCCTCAATGCGGCGTGGCATGGAAGCTATCAGCCTGTGGCACTGCTGAGGTGTTATGGAAGACCAGGATGCTTCAATAGCGGCATTCAGCTCTTCTGCATTGTTCGGTCTTATGTCTCTCATCTTTCTCTTGGCAATGCCCCATAGATTCTCTATGGGGTTCAGGTCAAATGAGTTTGCTGGCCAATCAAGCACAGTAATCCCAAGGTCACCGAACCAGGTTTTGGTGCTTTTGGCAGTGAGGGCAGGTGCCAAGTCTTGCTGGAAAATAAAGTCAGCATCCACATAAAGCTCGTCTGCGGAAGGAAGCATGAAGTGCTCCAAAATCTCCTGGTAGACGGCTGTGTTGACCCTGGACTTAATGAAGCACAGTGGACCAACACCATCAGATGACATGGCTCCCCAAATCAACACAGACTGTGGAAACTTCACACTGGACTTCAAGCATCTTGCAGTGTGAGCCTCTCCATTCTTCCTCCAGACTCTGGGGCCTTGGTTTCCAAATGAGATGAAAAAGTTGTTCTCATAAGAAAAGAGGACTTTGGACCACTGAGCAACAGACCAGTTCTGTTTTTCTGTAGCCCAGGTAAGACGCTTCTGACATTGTTTGTTGTTCAGAAGCGGCTTGACAAGAGGAATACGATATTTGAAGCCCATGTCCAGGATCCGTCTGTGTGTGGTGGCTCTTGATGCACTGACTCCAGTCTCAGTCCACTCCTTGTGAAAGTCCCCAACACTTTTGAATGGCCTTTTCCTGACAATCCTCTCCAGGCTGCAGTCATCCCTGCTGCTTGTGCACCTTTTTCATCCACACTTTTCCCTTCCACATAACTTTCTATTAATATGCTTTGATGCAGCACTTTGGGAACATCCAACTTCGTTTGCAATTACCTTTTGAGGCTTTACTTCCTTATGGAGAGTGTCAGTGATGGTTTTCTGCACATCTGTCAGGTCAACAGTCTTTCCCATGATTGTGATTCCTATTGAACCAGACTGAGAGACCTTTTAAAGGCGCAGGAACCCTTTGCAGGTGTTATGGCTTCATTAGCTGATTAGAGTGGGACACTTTGAGCCTAGAATACTGAACCTTTTCACAATATTCTAATTTTCTGAGATTGTGGATTTGGGGTTTTCATGAGCTGTAAGCCATCATCATCCCAATTATGACAAATCACAGCTCGAATTATCTTGCTTTGCATGTAATGAGTCTATCTCATATATTAGGTTCACCTTTTAAATTGCTTTACTGAAATAAATGAACTTTTGCACGATATTCTAATTTTTTGACTTTCACCTGTATATTATGTAATACAATACAGTTGAGCAGAATACCATCAAAGATTGAAAAAAAAACCACTTTCCCCCATAATTCTTTTTTATGTAATTCTGGATAAGCAAGAATATGTCTCTTACCAATAAATATGATCTTTTGACACGTGATCTTGTATGTGAGTCCATTTTATTCCCAGATCAAGAGATGCATAAAGCTTAAAATGAAAAAGAAGGAGAAAACATATTATTATTTCCTCCAAGAGTGCAAGGTAAAAAATTAGGATTCTTCCAACTTTTCCCTTCAACAAGTTGTGAGGTGGAGTGGAATTTATCAGAGAGTTCTTTATGCAGCCATGTTGGTTTCTTTTGAGAGCTGTTATTTTTCTTCTTCATTGGTATTGTGCTAGATTGGGCTTTTATAATTTCAGTTTTCAAAATTTCCCAAGCCTCTTGAGTTGTTTTCCCCTTGAGGATTCTTATCCATGGAATCTTTCCCAAGCTCTTATTGAAATTAGCTCTCTTAAAATCCAAGACTATAGTCTGACTTTGTTCTATTGCTTGTGCTTGCATAATGTTGAATTCCAATATTGTATGATCACTCCCTCCCAAGGTTTCATCTCTGTTAGTGAGAATTAAATCCAATATGGCTAATCCCCTAGTTTCCTTCTCTACTTTTTGGGGAACAAAGTTGTTTGCTAGGTTTGTCAGGAACCTTTTTGAACTTCCACTTGTTGTGAATTTTATCTCCCAATTGATGTCAGGGTAATTAAAGTCTCCCATTACTATTGTGATGTGCTTCCTACATACCTTAACTGACTAGCAAAAAGGTCATCTATTTCCTCTGTTTGGTTTGGTGGCCTATACATATACACCTAAGGCAATATAATTCCCCCCCTTTTATATTGACCTAAACGTATTCAAGACAGTTTTCATCATTGTTGTGCTATATTTCTTTAGAGATATAGTTGTTTTTCTGTATAGATGTAGTTATATAAGTTTAAGTGCTATTGTTGTATACAAATTAGTACTGAATGCTGACTTAATACCAGAGAGCCAAAAATATAAATAGCTCATGTGTTTGTTACAGATTTTTAATGCAGATTCATTTCAGTATTAAGCAAAGATGATTGAGAATGAACCAGTATTTGGATTCCTATAAATGATCACAGTGCATAAAGACTGGTTCACATGCACAAATCAGTCAGTAACTGCAGGATCAACTAATGATATACAACTGCAAATAAATCATTGTTGCTAAATGTTAAGTTTAATGCCATTTATAATATGATTTTATTCCATATGTGATTATTCATCTGTAACAGTTGGAAAAGATATGCATACAGATGTGATATGAAGTATTTTGGAAATGTTTCCTATATTGGTTATATTACAGTATTTTATGTTGTAAAATAGTTTGATATTTCATACTGTTCCTCCAAGCTGTCCAGAACATATTTCAGATATATCAAAAGCAAAGCCACACAACATTTTTTAGTTATTTACCTGTTCCTCCTTGGTGTAAGCAAGCACTTTATCTTCCTGTTTTGGATGAAATATCAGTGTTTCCACAAAAAAACTAATGGGCTGTTTTTGAAAAGTAGCACCTTCATCTGTACTAATAAAAAGATTCTGGTCCAGGTCATTGTGGGAAGAACTTACAAGAATTATCTATAAAAGAAAAAAGCAAAGCAAACAAATCAGCCAAGTTCTAATACGAGGTGCACATATTTCTTTATCAAATTAAAAAGGAAAAAAATAGGAACGAAATAAAGGAATGCCTTAGGATCAATTGATCCCAAATAGATTAAAAAAAGTATTCTGCCAAGTATTCTGATAATCTCCTAAATTCTTACTGCTTATCTAAAGAGTCCTAAAAATTGAAGCTTAGCAAAACTGCAGGAGATTTTCTAGCTAATCCCTAGAGGTTTTCCCATAACTACAACTCTCACATTTTGTAAAAAGAAGCAACAAGTTTTATCACACAAACTAAGGCATGCTCTTCTGCACTTCTAGTAAGCGGGACTGCAGTCCAATCTGAGTTTAGGTCTACTTTGTTTCAGAATCAGCAAAGAAGTCTTGGGAGGAGGAAGCAATTTAGAAAGTATCATGAAACTGGGAACTGGAAAAATATATCCATTCAACTTACCTTTCTAATACAGTCATGTATGCTAGGAAAATGAATATAACAAAAAACTCTATTATTTGTTATAAGCCTTGTAGAAGCCTTGTGTGATGATGAGGAACCAAAGGGACCTTGGAAGCCAATGAATTAACTGACCCAGGACCCAACATCAAGCAAAGAAGAAAAGGACTCTGTTATTACTAAATCTGCAATCCCAGATTCTACTTTAGATTCCACAATATAAGTGTCAGGGTTCCGGAAGTTACCCCCCATTTAAATCATGAGTCTCGAGCCAAACTTCCAAAACTTCAAAAGAATTTATTGGGAGTTAAAATGTCCGGCACTGCCTAGGTGTAGCCGATTCTGAGACACATAATTCATTGCCACCCTTGACCCTGGTTTTCCCCCAGCCCCGGGTGTATATTCTCCAATGGGACACATCCATAGCCAAGAATCATCAACCATGCTCTCCAGTTAGAATTTTGCACGACAGAAACTTCAGTCACCTAGTTATTATCTTTGAAAACTTTTATGGAATGCACTTTCAGTTTGCAAGCTGCTACACTGTTCCCCTTCCCTTTCAGTTGGCAAAAAGACCATTGAAATATTTATGAGCTGACAATAAGCTTGAATGTGTGACTATGATGGGCACCTATACAGGAGATAAACTGTGGCCGAGTCAAACACATATTGTGATGCAACTTTGGCCCAGTTCATACTTGTATTACGATGCCGTACACAAATTTGTAAAGGATAGAACTTGCATTGTTCTATAGTGGGGTTTCCAGGCTTGGGCATAAAACCAAGTTTTCAAGGCTTTGCAGAAGGTGAGCAGGTCCCCACAGCTTCAAAAAGACAGAATCTCCATGGCCTCACTTAGGCCACCTGGGATAGAAATACAGAGTGTCATCACCCTGTTGATAATACCTCACCCCAAACTGTCAGATTACCTTGCTCAGTAAGTTCATAAAGATGTTAAACAGGAAGAGAAAAAGTATTCAGCTATGTGGCACCTCATAAACGAAGGACCACGGGTTGAATTCTCTCACTCATCAACACCAATTGAAACCAACCCCAGAAGATGGAGGAGAATGAGCACGGTGCAGTACTGCCCACTCTCAACTTCCAAAGCCAGCACACAAAGATGCCAAGTTCAGTGACAGACATGTCAAACTCAAGGCCCGTGGGCCAGATCGGCCTGTGATGGGTTTAGATTTGGCCCGCGAAGCCACCCTGGAGACAGTGAGGGACTGGCCCCACTGCCTCAGCCCTGGCCTGGTCTTCCCCCTGGGTGCACGCACAGGAGGTACGAATTGTCAAAGTGTGCATCACAACATCCAGGAATGCGTATGTACCCCATCTCTTTGGCTTCCCATAAGGCTACCACAAATGAAAATGGCAACATTAGGAAAACTTCCGGTTTGTCGGCTTTGGTGACAGCAGGGATTCGCTTTTCTACGCGATCCCTGCTGTGCTAGCCGCCTTGGTGCCTCCGATCCTGACGGATTTGGAGGCTAAGGCTGCCCTGTTGGGACAGCTGAAGAAAGGGGGGATCCGGACAGGGGTTGAGGGGTATCACAAACCCCCTCCCCAGCCGGCAATAACCCCCTTCTCTCATTCCCTCCCTTAACAAATGGACAAGGAAAACCTGCCTTTTAATAGAAGGTAAAACCTAAACTCCTTTGTTATAAGTGGGAAGGGAGAGGCTTGGAAAAAATTTTTTTTACTCTAAGACTTTGCTGGAGGAGATGCCTTGAAGATAAAGAGAATAGAAATTAATTCTAAAAAAGATTTAAAGCACAGACTGGACGTTTTTTCTTTCCCTAATTTGACTTCACCCCTAGAAGAGAAATTGTAAAAAGAAGAAGTTTGTACTCTGCCTGGACTGTTTGATGATTGCGGGATTTTGGGACTTTTGGGAACTGTTTTAAGTTTGGAAATAACTGATTGGCTTAATAAGAAGAAGAGGATACAGAAAAAGAAGAAGAAACAGTTTAAAATGGCTCTATCTCTTGATGAACTAAAAAAACAATATTTAAAAATAAGGAAAGAAGGCAAAGATGTTATGGGAGAAGCCCTTTGTTTCCTAGATATGGCGCTTGTCATGTGTCAGCAAATTAAACAACAGCTGGAAGAAGCCGAGGAAGAAGAAGCCATTTTTAATGAACTAAATGGTGTGATTAAGAAAAAAAGGAGAAAGAGAGGAGCGAAAAGGAAGGACTTAAGAAATAAAAAAATATTTATGAAAGAGAAAAAGAAGATGCAAAAACAACAGAATGCTAGAAAGCAAAAGGAAAGAGGAATGCAACAGAAAGGGGAAACCAAGAAGGCAGAGGTTTGGAGAGGAGGAGGTAAAAAGTTTAGGTGGGCTAAGAAGGAAAGGGAAAAGGGGGAAAAAAGTTACAAAGGTATAAAACAAGATGGAGAAAAGAAATTTTTTTTTAGGGATAATGGGTAATGTATGGGGGGGGGTTTCTTAAAAATAAGGGGGATTCTGCAAAGTACACATGAGTACTGTAATAGTGGTATTTGTATTATAAGTAGATAATCAGAACTTTTAAAGATCTAATAAAAGAATAAAATATTAAGGTATAACTTTAAAATGTTTAATAATGAAAGATTTTAAGTTTTAATAAAATACTAAAGGGGATGTTTAAAATATTAGTTTAAATATAGAGTTTAATGGATTAATGTGTTGACTGTTATGGATTTATTATTGTAGTATTGGTTTCTGAAATAGTAGAATGTACTAAGCAGAATCTGATTGGGATTTAGGTGTTATTTTAAATTTTAATTTAGGGGAATGATAGAAAGGCATCATACTCCGATTAGTGATTCCAGGGGAAACTATTCTTTTTTATATTGGAAATGAGACAGATGTAAATGGAGAAATGGACAAAAGATATAAAAATATTTTTCTTTAAAGCAAGATTAAATATATAAAACAGAATTAAGACGAGGCAAAAGTGGAGAGGAGTTATATAATAGATATAGAATGGTAAACAAGATAGGTAATGGTATATAAGAAGAGCATGAATTCAATTGAAGTCCATACAAAAAGAGGTAATCTGGGGCCAAGTTACTTTCTAAAAGAAAGTTTTATGTTTTTATGTTTATGTCTTATGTGTGTGTGTTCAATTAAGAATTAAATAATAAAATCTTGGAGGAAGACTAGATGAGAACAATTATAAACAAGCCAGAGGACAATATAAATGTGATGATTGAATAGCAGATAAATTAGAAAGGAAATATGATTGAATAATGATTAAAGAGAAACAATGTGGAATTTGGTAAAGGGAATTTACGTGTTTATATGGAAATGGGATAAATTATAAGTATGTGATATAAAGCAATGTGTTACCTGCCTTGTAAAGATTTACAATGGAAAGAGGTTTTATGTTTTTAATGTTTAATGATGTTTTGTTTTGTTTCTTTGTAAAATCAATAAAACTTGTTTTTTTAAAAAAAAGAAAATGGCAACATTAGGACAAATTCCTAATGCAATTTGGCTCTTTCTCAGAAAGAAAATGGGTGGATTGATTAAATCTCCCCATCCCCAATATGCTGTTTAGATTATGAGAAATCCTGGAAGAATTATTTTAACCTGGGGTATTGTGGAACCTTAATTTTGGAATTTAGGCCCAGTATTGAATACAGGTAGTCCTCAACTTACAAAAGTTCATTTAGTGACCTTTCAAAGTTACAACAGCACTGAAAAAATGGCTTATGACCATTTTTCACACTTACGACATTTGCAGTATCCCCATGATCATCTGATCAAAATTCAGAGAACTGAAGTCAACTGCAGTGATTCACTTAACAACTGTGGCAAGAAAGGTCATAAAACAGGGCAAAATTTACTTAACAATAGAAATTTGGGGCTCAACTGTCTCCAGGGCGGCCACAGGGGCCAGATCTAAACCCATCAGAAGCTGGATCTGGCTCACAGGCCTTGAGTTTGACCTGTTTGGTCTAGTGCAGCAGTCCCCAACCTTTGTTGTTTGGTGGCCTGGTGGGGGATGGAGTGAGAGGAGAACCGGACTGTGCAAGCAGCAGGCTGGCACATGCAGCTCAACTTCTGTGAGTGATAGGCCAGTATGCACAGCTCAACTTGTGCAAGCCGAGCTGCATGTGTGCATGTGCATGCTAGCCCACTACTCACATAGCCTGGTTACAAATAGGCCCTATAGTGGGCTGCAGCCTTGGGATTGGGAACCCCTAGTATAGTGGTTAGGGTATTTGGCTAGGAACCAAAGAGATTCCAGTCTCGCCTTACGGATGAAAGATGGCTGAGTGACTTTGGGTCAGTGACTCTCTCTCAGCCCAACCCAACTCACAGGGTTGTTGTTGGGAAAATAGAAGGAAGAAGAAAGGAGTATTAAGTATGTTCACTGTCTTGAGTTATTTATAAAAATAATAAATAAATATGCTGCTTTCTGCAGTTCTTTCTATGCTGTAATACTTGGCTAGTTAGTTCACAAAAAATAATATTTATAAACCAATATCTAGCTATGAAGAACTGATTATAACTTAGAAATATGCTTTA